AAAAAAGGGTCAGGAGAAACACACGCTCGCACACACAAGTCCTTGAACTTCCACAAAGAGATATCACATTACATTTTGCAGTGTTTCCTAGGAAACCATTTTAGTGTAAAAGGAACTCTTTGTCTCCTGCTCTTTGCAAAATTGTTTGAACCACCATATCTCATAAAAGGTTGCTTCACAGGCAATTTATGCAGCATTAAAAAAAGCTCAATCTGCAGTTTGCTGCACCATCAGAGGCAATACCTTTATCAGCAGTCTGAATACTTTAGATTGTATTTGTTAAGAATTGATAACATTATGTCATCATTTCTAAAAGTCAGAGAAATAAAATCTTGTTTTCTTTTTTTTTTTTTTTTTTCCCTTTTCTGACATGCAGTGCCTTTCTCTACAAAGCAAGGCAGTATTAAAATAAAATAAAATAAAAAACGGCAGAAATTGTTTTGGGAAGCTCTTAGCAGCACCTTTTTACTAGTACGTTGGCTCAAGCAAAGGTACATTTTGGGTTTTTTTCCTTTCATCACAGAAGAGGCTGGAACCGGATTTCCACAAACATGGCTCTTGCTCCCTGATGTTAGCTATTGCATGGCTGTGCACGTGTGCTGATGCGTGCCACCTGCTAGCCCAAATCTAGCAGGTCAGAACAAAAGACTCGCCTGCCCTGAATTACCTGTGCCCTTCACTGCCGCAGGCTGAGACCCTTGGCTGTGAAAGGTGCTTCCCCAAACCGGGGCAGTTTCTCAGCTGATGCTGGGGGTGGCAGTTTTGCTGCAAGGGCGGGCAGCCCAATCCGGCAGCCTGGCTGCCCTAGAGTCAAGGGGTCAGCCACCCCAGTCCCAGGCTGCAGACAGGGAAAGTCCTCCTTGGGACTGAATACCAGGGCAGAGCTCGCAGGCCAGAGAAAGAGCAGGGTTTCCACAGAGCTCTTTGCCAGTTACCTTTCATTATTTATCATCTTGCTTTAAATCCAGCACTAGACGTCTGCTATCTCATCTTAAGGAGGATGCATGTGAGGGCACGCAGTGCCTCCACCGCTGCCGGCAGGCTGGCCTGTGCTTCCCCTGCATTTTGCTTAAAGAGCTGACCTAATGAGTTTTGTTGCCTCCTGTAGTCCCTGTCATTTATAGTTGTTATAATTTCCTGTCATAGCTACTTTTTCCTCCCCCCCCTTGTGATATTGCAGGATTCAGCTATATAGCTGGTGTGCTCTGACTGCAGCCTGCTAGATTTGTCTTCGTCTTAATATATTATTTATGATGCTATTATTCCTTGCAGTGGACTGCCAGCCATGCTCTGCATACAGTTGCTGGTCTTCCAAATGCATCATGGCCAGCAAAGGAAAACACTGATCTAATTGAATTAACAGTGGTGCTGTTAGCCTTAATACAGTTTGTCATGAAACACTAAGCAGATGTGACAATGATCTTGGTTAGTCATATTTTTGTCCCTACTCCCAGACATGGTAACTGTTAGCCAGATCAGTAGGGAGGATAATTCTCCTTTGCTGATCAGTAATTATGCTTACCTAGATATGTGGCAATTGCTTTGGACTGATGGTTGAAATAAGCCAAGGACTTGAATAGCAGAAAGTTTTATATTCTGATAATAAACATGGCTAATTAAAACAAGATGCAGATGGTACCGCCACCTAGCAATTTTCACCTCACTTACTCTGACTCCAATTATAGCCTTTCCCTGCTGACTTACACTGTTTAAATTACAAAGTCAGGGGATAGATGACTATTTACCTGTTTCTATTCAGACAAAGAAGTCTAACACATCATCGTTCTCCTGCACAAGGCATGTGATGATGGTCTTAGTATTTATTCTGAAAAGAAAAGTATCTCCACTCTTTTAAAAAAATGGAGAAAAGTAATAAAAAGACTACCTAGAGACTCATTAGCAGACACATGCATCAGCAGGAAGCATATGAGTATTACACACACAATGTGTTTCTCTAACACTTGTTGGTTGGAGCAGGTGCCTTACTTCTGGGAAATTAACTTTAATTGGATAAATAGAAAACTGGCCTTAACTAAGCCAGTCCAACCCACTTTCTTAGTTTATTGTTTTCTTTAGACACTCTGAAATGCTTGACGTTTATCCCTTGGGTGACTTTTGCTTCTTCCCAGAGTAGAACACGTTTACAAGGTGTAGTTAGGCAATCAGCCACCAAGAATTGATTAGGTTTGCTTGATCCTGCCTCAGTGCAGTGGGATAGACAGACTACCACTTGAGGTCCTCCACATTGCTTTAACCAAGATTTATAATCAAGCTTTAGGGAGCAAGAATCCATGTCCAGCCCTGGGAGAGCACAGAGTAATACTGCTAATTCTGTGATAGAAGAATGATCTGGAACTGCATCCCAGAAATTACTCTGGCCATCAGCTGGACCACAGTGTTGTTCCTAGTATCAATACATTACTGTTCTGGCCCTTTATTCTGGCATTCCCTTTCCTGCAATATCAGCCCTGTGTATTGCCATCCTGCTGGCAGTAAAGTGCACTGAACTGCCCATGCTTTTCCTGATTGTCTCTATTTTTTTTTCATGGGCGGAGATTTCAGGTGCAAAATATGCCCTGCTGAAGAAGCTACAATGGGGCAGTATCTGCGGTTATCTTTGAAATGGCTTTGTGCAGTTTGAAAAGGTATGTGTAGTGGAGGGAGTGGGGAGGAACAGGGTGGTGGACCAGGATTTATTTACAGAGACCTATTGTTTTGAGTCATACAGCTGGGTTCAATTTTGTGTAAAAATATGTATGCAAATTAATGCTGATTGGAAAGGAACTTCCATGCATCCTCAATGACATGCTAAATGAGGTCAACATGAGCACCACTAATGCAATGAAGAAGGTGACACTAACTTGACTGAAGTGCTCAAAGCTCTTTCTCCTGGGCATCATCTTTGCTGTGTTCAGACCCATGGAGTTTCTGAAGTGTGGCAGTACTGGTCCCTGCAGAGGATGGATCTGATGATTCAAATAGACAGTGGGTACCTCAGAGATCTCCTCCGCTGTCAAAAGCCACCATACTGGAGGCTGAGGACACTGTCTCTTCTGGGGGGGAAGCTGTGGGGGCTCAGTGGAGGGACATTTCCTTAGCGGGCTGCCTGCAATGCACTTGGTTGGCCTAGATCCCACTAGGGCAGTGGGATGTGATGCACCCTGTTTCCTTCAGTTCCTCTCCCGGTCATTTTTGCACAGCAATATGGTAGGACAGGTCTCTGTCAGAGGCTATGTGTGTGCCAGCACAGAGGTGCACATTTGGGGAGATGTTGTGAGGGAAAATTGCTTTAAGAGGCTAGGTTCGCACCTTCCCTTGAGCAGCAATTTGTGGGCACACAAGCAGAGCAGTTACAGAACCCATATGGCTTGTGCATCAAGGCATCCACCTTCCTGCCCTCTCTTCTTTATGCCCATGCTTTAAACAGACCTTTCTTTCACTGGCAACAGAGGACGAGCTCTGCAAAGAAGGCAGTCAGTACCACTGCTAGAGGTGTTCTTGGGTCCTGTCCTCCATGCAGCAGCCTGCAACTGTTTATAGAGGAATATTCATGTTAAAATAAAGGTGTATTAATCTTTGACTAGCCTCCCTAGGTGCTGCTTATATGAAGTATTTCAAACAAAGCTGGACAAAGTAACTTCACAACTGACTGGCTGCAGCACTAAAACCAATACACATCCATAGGCACCCCAAGAGCTTTTGCTTTCCCATTTGTTGCAACTTTGGGAGCACTCAGGTCAAATGCAGCGGAGCGTGGAGAACTGTGTGATGGTTCAGTGCCCCTGGTCCACAGTCTGGGGGTCCCTTAATATCACTCAGGGCAGCCAGCCAGGTCCCAGCCATGGCAGGCATCTTCCCCACATCCACACCTCACATCTGCATGCCAGTGTGCCTGGCTCAAAGAAAGCCTGCACCTGAGAAAAAACCAGACGTCTGTGGGTACAGCACTGAAAAATGATGTTTGCAATGCTCTGCTCTTGTGTGTCACTGCTACATCAAGGCTACCACCTTTGGAGCCCTCGTTTCCTTCAGGGAGGAGAGGGGAGAGAGGGCTGTAGAGAGTCCGGCCACTTTCAGCTGTGGAGAGTGTGCCTAGGCTTTGTGACTTCTCTTTTTAAATCCATCATCATAGGCTTTGTGACTTCTCTCTTCAAATTCATTGTGTCCCGCTTCTTGAGGAAAGCTAGTACTTCACCACTTTCTGCTGAGCCAGGGTAAGGGCTATCTGTGGTGGGAGGTGGGGGACCAGTAAGGCTCTAAATCCAGAACAGGGTGTTCTGGCAGGGCAGGAAAGCCCAAGTATGACCTGAGCAAGGGTAAATTACTGGATTGGATCCCTAATTTCTATAGGTTCACAAAGAACTCCTGTCACAAAACAAAATCACCAAGCCCAGTAACTAGTGTAACAAAGCGTTTACCTGTACTGAAATGGCTGTGCATTAAGTGATCCCTATCTACACAAGGTCATTGCAGAGAATGCAGGTACATTTTAATGACTCTCAGGGCTACGGACATTATATACTCCTTTGTTATTTATGTTTACTAACATTTTCTTGCAGAATTGGTCTCAAGCAACATCCTCTAAATCAGGCCTATGAAGCACAATAGATTTATGACTGCTAGAAGAAAACACAGGTTCCTCTGTTATTAATACGTAAAGCCTGGAGATGAAGTCACATCTGTATGATGATCTATTTTGGTGGACCACTCTTGTTTAAATCCCAGCCTTGATCTTTTAAATTATCCAGTCTGCCATAAATATTTGATGATGAACAAGCTCATAAAAAGAAAATGCAGAATATGAATAGAGAGCAAATGTGTGATTCAATTTTTAATTACCATCACCTTACTCTAAAGTCAAGTTCATCTGTAAGAGGCAGAAAATAACAAATTTCTTTCTCACCATAACCTGATCTAAATGATCAGCATGGCATTTGTTTGTATTTTTTTAAGGAAAAGGATAAATCATTGTAGAGGCAAAAGAATTGGGACACAAGAAATAAGGTAGAACAGTCTGGTTTTATTACCATATGTAATCAAGAGCTTTTATTTCCCCTTTTCTCCTCCTTCTTTCTTCTTCTTTCTTGCTTTTTTTTTTTTTTTTTTTTTTACAACATACATTAAGTTGTGAATCAGATGTTAGGGGGATGTGGAAATGAAGGGAAACTGGTGACATCACAATACTTTACAATTTTACAACAAATGAGAGTCTGAATTTGTTGCATCTACCAGTGTATAGCAAGGGTGGAAAGCAAAGGCACACATAGGTTCATGAATCCCTCGAAACAGAGGGTGGAAGGGAACCGGGGGTGGGAAAGGACAAAAACAGAAGACCCACCGAGTACAAAATGCACGTTTCAAGGTCAACTTGGTAACTGGTGTGGTGTACATCGTGAAGGCAGATCGCTGCACAAGCTGTTAACATGATTATTCATCTCTACGTTTTGGGAGAATGCTTTGCAGGGTAATATCAAGGGGACCTGCACATTTGGTGCTCCAGGGGTTTGGAGCTTGGTAAAAAGGTTGCGAGTTGGTTCTTTTTTTTTAAAAAATGACCTTGCTACCTACTGTTTTCAAATGGTTTTCTGTTTGTTTTTATTAAAACAACAACATCGCTTTGGATACAGATCTATCTACTCCAGTCTGCATAGTTCACTAAGGGTGAACAAAACTGTTTCATAAAAGCCATGATGAAATGAAAGAACATGCAAGCACCCTTGTTACACACTTTGGTCTAGACCATCCAGACTTTATATATACCATCTATAAGCTAATGGACTTAAAATCTGTCTTTTCAATCGTTCAGAAACAAAACCAAAACCCTGAAAAACAAATGGAAGTATAAAATTTTAAAAAACAAATTGAAACAGAAACAACCACCTTACTCAAACATACTGTTCAGTAGATATATATATATATATATATATAAAAAGCTTAGAAGCGATCCCCATCATTTTTCTACAGTATGTTGACACAGTTATTGTAACAGATTAAAAACACATCTACATTTTTGCATAAACTAAAAGACTGGAAAGGAACTTACACACCTGCGCGCACACACACACACGCACACACCTGTGTGCGCGCACACTCCCACACTAGCTACATGCACAGTCACACAAAAGAAACAAAGAAAAAAAAAAAAAAAAAAAACAACCCAACATTTTTCCCCAAAGAAGTATATGCAGCATCCTTCTGGAGCAGCAGGTAGCTACAGCAGGAGCCCGCCTGCCTGTCCTAGCTCCATGTGCCCTGCACGCTGCAGGATGTGTGACTGGGCTTTTCTGCAGGGCTTGGCCCCTCTCACCGGTGCTTGTCCCCGGCCGGGGGACACACCAGCCCCGTGGACAAGGGTGTTGGTCACTTCCCTGCTGCCCAGTGAGAATGATCCCTGTGCTGATGTGTGGTACAGGGAGAGCCGGAGGTGGGGGAAAGACAGAACGCCCAGCATGGTGTTTTGGGAGCATCGCCGCTTGTGGGTGGTTTTGAGAGAGGACTTGGCACAGCTAGAAAGTCAAATTGAAGTGGAGGGTATGGTGCTAGCCTAATTTCTTGAGGGACATGGGGTTATGACAGTAACCACCATGTTCTTCTTTCAATGTCTTTACTCCAGTTCTTGAAGGGGCTTGGAGGAGGAAGGATCAATAAATATTTGCATTACTCAAAGGGGAAAAAGAAAAAGGTTTTACATACTACAGCTCACAAGTATACACAACTGAGGGTGTAAGGCACAAATTTACATGTGGAAGAAAACAGGCTATTCACAGATATATTCCCACGAAAAACCCGTGTGATAAGACCATAATTTATGCATGGTAACAGCCGGCATATTAACTAGTTCACACTGTTTGAGGATTTTGTTTGCCGTCTCACATGCAAGGTGAAATGAGATGGCACATCACAAGCTGGTGCCTTCACAGAAAGTATTAGCTACTGACAAAGCCATGTTGATAGCAATGGTGCACAAATGTGCGGCTTTTAAGAGTTTCTCTTGCAGTTGCTTTAGAAGTTATGAACTTGCGGTATTTGTTTGTCGCTGTCTTAGGTCAGAGGCCCAGCCAGCTAATTAGCTGAGAGACTTAAATAGATATCCCCTTTTTTTTCAGCTAATCGGGCTGTCCAGGCACAAAGTTCAGAATTCCAGCTCCAACTTATCTAACTCAGTGAATTTATTGGAAAAATAAAAGAGTTTTAATTACTCCAGTTAATGGGTTTCATGTTAAATAGGTACAACCTTCAAGGTACTTCTCTGAAGAGCTGCTCACAGGATGATATGCAGAAGTCATTTCCTTAGGAAAAACAGAAGTTGAACAATAAATAAGAGGAGTTACTTGCGTTAACAGTCACATGTTATTCATTAAAAGAGAAGGGTAGCAGAAATCTATGACAGTTTGCCCCACATGGCATTCAACTGCTGTAACCAAATGACTGTAACACTGATGGGCATCATTTCACAGTACCTGCACGCAGTAAACTTCTGCCATTGTTAAGTCAGAGTTAGCTTTATCAATGGATTCTTTTTTTTCTTTTTATTTTTTTTTTAATTTGTTTTTGTAATTATTTGTTTTGCTTTTCAGAGCACCCTTTCACAGTTCAGGAATGCGCTGTGCAGTTGGGGGCAGGGGGTGAAATGTCACAGTCATCTTTCACCTGTGTGCTTTTGGCTCAATGTTTGTGATGGAGGGCTAGTCTTTTGAGCAAAGAACTGGCGGGTTGTGGGGGCGAGTCCTGCAATTGCAAACCTTCAACCATGGGTCATATGGCTCGGGTTTAAAAAAATATTCCACTTTTCCCAGAGAGCAGAAATCCAACACATCTTCAGCTTGCAACAACCATCTTCTCAGAGGAGCGAGTGATAACAGTTGCAGAACCCTGGCTTTCAAGGGCAACCTCTTCTTAATTGCCGTCCTCCCCCCCCACCCCACTCTGATTATGTACACGCATCGTTGGGCTTCATGGATGTGGAGAGTGGAGCAAATGAAGGTTTGGGAGGTACATCTGGCTTTAGCGAGGGCGTGCGTTTCAACCCTGACCTTGTCAGTGAGTTGTAGGCGGTCAGACTCGGCTGCCGAGATACAGTCACAGCCTGTGCCTGCGCAGCGTGGACCTGTATGGAGTCCACTCGCTGCGGGGCCGGCGGCGGGTTGTCGCTCCGGCCGAAGCTCTGATTGCGGGAGAGGTGGGATGAGTTGGAGGAGTTAGTGTTGTTTCTTTTGAGGGTTGACGTCTGGTGACTTCTCGTGAGCGAGTTTGTAGGATAGCTTCTCTTGTAGTCCACACTGTAAGCAGAAGGGTGCACCTCCAGCCGCTTGCTCAGGCCACTCTGCGACAGCGAGGCACTCGGGGGGCCAAGGGAAGCTTCCCGCTGGGGTACTTTTGGTGGCATGCTGTCGAGATTTTCCACCAGGTTAACCCCGTGGCTGGGGCTTTTGCTGCTGAGATGGTCCTTGATAGTTTTGTACTCAAGGGTGGCATTCTGGTCCTCCACAGACATCTGAGCCCCATCGCTCATTTTTGGCTGGTCAACGTACTCATGCTGGTAGCCTTGCTGGGCTATGGGCAGGACTACAACACTGGGAATGTGGCTAGGAGAAGCCCTGAGCGGCAGGTCTGTAGGTATCACGGGCGAGGCCATCGGGGGGATATCTTTTGTGCAGGCATTGATGAGGTTCTGGTTTCTTTCCCATTCCCTGCTGCCACGGCTGGGTTTTCTCTTCTGTTGCAGGGTTGGGGTGGACTCAGGCGTTGGCAGCGCAGCCAGGTCCAGATGGTGCTGGTCAGCTTTGATTAGCATCTTGGCAGTGCTGCCAGGAGTAGCCAGCTTGCCGTTGTGCATCAGGGGTGTGAGGATAGCTTCGGGCTTTGGCTCCTTGGACTGAGCATCCCCAAAGAGGCCACTGAGCTTGGTGACGCTGCTCATGGATCCACGGCGGGAGTGGGTCAGCTCCTTCTCCTTCCTCTGCACAACAGCCACATCTCTGCGGCGATGGTCACAGATGCAGTACACTATGATTCCCGAAAAGACGGCGCCCATGACAAAAGCAAGAATAACAGCAATGGCCAACAGGGTGACCGGCACCAGCTGATCATGACCCTTCAGGTAACTCTCACGGATCACTCCTGAAATAAACAGCATACAGTGGTTAAACAAACTAAGGATGGGGAAAAGCTACTTATCATTAATTACTCAGTTCAAAGCCACACGCTGGGAGGTTGGTTTGTGTTTTGCAAGGTGATTTTTGATCAGCTTGCCCGAATTTGGAGACATACTGTACCTGCCAGCTACATCTTGCATGTGCAGCCTTGGGCTTTCAGTAAACCTTTCAGATCTGAAATTAAAGACTATGAAGTTCAGGAGGGGAGCGGGAATTTACTGGCAGGGCAAGTGCAATTGGTTTGAAATCCTGACCCTGGGCAACTCACACTGACTTAAGCAGGTCAGCACTGTTATTTATCCTCCTCCGACATACCGCTCATTTCTCCCCTCCTCTCCATTTAATCTCTCTTCAGCTAACTATCTTATTTTTACTACTGGTAAACCATTCAAATTGGAAAACCTTTAAAAGGAGGAGAAGAGACAGAAGCTCTGCAAATACCAGGGAAGTGCATCCCACATTGTTTAAGGCTTCTTTCTCTGCTCGTCATTCTGTTATCTTTGTCATGTGTTTTAAAAGTCAGTGTCACATGCCTGAGCTTCAGGAGGATGTTTAGATAACTATGAAAGCTAGAGCATAGTGTTGAAATCTACTGAGCCTGCTAGATGACTCTCCTTGCTATTTTAAAAGCTCTTTCTTGTCCTGAACACATGAATAGGTTGATCTCTGTGCTGAAGCCTGTGCTTTCTCATCTGAAAGCCCTGACTTTGAGGGCCTCACCTTGTGGTCCTGTGCTATGGTTAGAGATGACTGTCAAATCTTACTTCACCCTCCAAGAGTCTGCTGTCAGAGAAGGCATCTTTGGCAGAGCGCACCTCCTCCATCTGAAATCCCTAATATAGCATTAATCAATGCCCTGAATTTCTGAAGAAAGTAGTTTTTTCTGACATAGTTGGGCACCAAGCCAGCAGCACTAATGAAACACAAGCACAGAGCCTCTAGTTTGCTTTTTTCCATTTCTGTTTTTGTTCCTAGTGCTTAACAAGGAGCAGCCACAGCCTGACAAGGAGCAGAAGGAACATGTCTCCCACCTCTTTCTCCAGAGAGAGTCCCAGTGCCAGGACATTAAAAGCTCCACATGCTCTAAGGAAATGTCCTTGTCCTTATTACAGGAGAGATAGCAAGACAGAAAATGTACCTCCAAGGCTCTCCTGAGACTTCATGAAGATACAATACTTTCATGTCGTAAATCAACTCCTTCTATAATAATGTCTTTTCATGTATTTGGCAGAGAAGGTATTAGAAGCCCTGAATTAGAACTGAATGCAAAATACTCCTCAGCAAACTATGTTAAAAGAGCACTGAAAAGTTGCCACTGTCTCACAGAAACTTTTGATAAGTATTCTGGCTAGATATAGTATTGCTTCTACAGCATATAATTTTCTGTCCCCATTTAACTGCAGTATTTAGGTGGACAAGGGATATTCGCTTACAAGACAGGAACTTTATATTTAAAAACAAAACAACTCTTGAAATCATAAGCCCCTGCGTGTGACATCACAGGTGGTTGCCATGGAAATTATTGTGCTGTGACAAATAAAGGATTATGATTTCACAAGGAAAATAAATAGCAAGAGCAGATGATCACTTAAGAAAATAAGATCCTGCATTCATATAAATGTCTTAATAGTAAAAATGTATGGGGAGGGAAGTAAGTCTCAGAAAACAATATATAATTAGAAACAATCTTCAAATTAAGTGTTTCTAAGAGAACCCTCTTTTAAAGCCAAGCAGCTTTTAAGAGGCAGATTTTTCTATTCTTTGTCATCAGCACTTAACCAGCAGCAGTAGATTCTAGCTCTGTAATTTGAATCCACATACAAAATTGCTGTACATAGTCCAGAAGCACAGTCTAGTGATTACGGCACAGTCAGCAGTAACTACATTTCACTGTAAAGTTGCTGGTCTTCTGTAGACCTTTACCTGCTGGTATTTACATGTTACGCTCTGCAGCATTTTGAGATCAAATTTATTTTTACTTGTAAAACTGTCTGCGGTCATTAACTGGAGAATCAGAAATAGAGAGTCTTAAATGCGTGGGAAGGATGGCCAGGGAAGTGTTAAGTCTTATCCTGAAAGGCACTACTGGGCGTGAACTTAGGAGAAGCTTCAACTTAAGGAGCCTGATTTCATGGACACCTTCCAGGCACAAACTTCTCAGAGATATGGCCCTTTGAGTGCTTAAGTCCAATGTTTTTTGCATGAAAGAGTCAAAATGCCTGCTCAGTGCTCACTTAAGGGTGTAACCACCTACAGTCAAAGCCAGCATGGGTTCATGAAGTGACAATCATGCCTTACTAACTTAATATCCTTTTATGTATAGACTGGAGGACAAGAGGCTGGAGTGTGGCTCCGCAGAAAGGGATGTGGCAGTTGATGGTAAGCTCAATATGAGTCAACAATGTGTCCTGGTGGTCAAAAGGGCCAACTGTATAAAAAATACAAGAATGTGTCCAAAGAAGGTCAACAAAGGTGGTGAGAAGACTACAGGGCATGACTGACGAGGAGCAGCTGAAGAAACTCTGTTCTGCTTAGAAGAGACCTCATTGCTGTCTAAAACTTCCTAGTGATGTGGAGTGGAGAGGGAAGTGCTGGTCTCCCTCTCAGGTGTCCAGTGACAGGATGCGAGGGAATGGCTTGAAGCCTGTGTCCATGCCTCACCTCTTCTACTGGCTAGGTGAGGCTGTTCCACACCCTCAGCCTTCCACTTTAGGCTAAGTCCTACTCTGCAAATGATAGCCTTCAGCACAAACCTGCATCACCGCCTACAAAAGCAACATTAAATCTTCAGTTTTGCATTATCAACAGATACTGAATCATTACAACTCACATTACAGAATTACCACACAGTTCAGACTGAGTGACTATCTGTATCCAAGAAAGAGGTAGCTGAAATTCTGTCACTTTACACTGCTGGTGTTTTATCAGCAGAAATTTACGAGGGTCTTAAAACGGACTAATTCCAGCTAGTTCCTCTTGAGCTCAAACCTTCCTGATGGTTATTACATTTTCTATACTAGAGTTAAAAGATATTTAACATTAGTTGCTTTGCTCTAGGCAGGCAGATCTCTGGCCACAATGTCAGGTTGATAATATAATTTACTTTTTTATCATGGATCATATCCATGTGTCTTTAGTTATGTAAGCAATCCCAACAACTTAAACTTAAATGATATAAGATGGGCAAGATTTGACCCTGCATTAATGTTTAAGGAATAGATACAACTAAGTAATGAAAAAGTATGAGGAACAGTCAGCAGCCTACCATCATGACCACGTGGAGAAAAATCTATTATGAAATAGGCTAATAATTGCAGGCATTGTCAATCGACATCTCAGGCCCCTGGCCTCAGAAGTAACTGCCTTCACATACTGGGATGAATACGCAAGTGTGTGATCCCAACTATGTCCCCAAAACAAACCAGCTTGAAAGCTGTTAGGACAGTTGGTGCCACTTTACAGACTGCCTTGTGTGCGCTTTTACCTGTCCTCCAGTTGTTAAAGAACAACATAGTTCGCAAGGCTCAGTCCAGCACCATTCATTAGCACTCATTATTCAAAGAATTAAAATAAATGGAGATAATCAGAAATATGTAGGGCATATATTTTTGAAAGTCAAGTAAAGTATTCAGACTCCCATCTTTGAGGAAATACTTGTTATTGGAAAGTCTTACGGCTACATATTATCTGACATCTTTCTAAGACATTATGCACCAGAAAACTGACTGGGCTGGTTGCATAAAATGCTATGGAACCTGACTGTAAAATATGATTGATATAAATATCACTATGTTATTTTTATCTTAATAATAAAACAAATATTCTAAAATAAATATTTTTACTTTTAAAATATTATGTCTAGCATTTTTCTGTTTGCAATATGTTCTTTCCAAATGTGAAAATACATTCCTTATTTCATTTCATGTGGTCTGAACTTCTCACCCATACTCTTGACTGTTTTCTGTAGTACATGGAGGAGTATCACCATGCATAATAACCATTCTTTGGAAATGGATATTGTTGACAGAATTATCTGCATTAAAATTATACTTGGGAGAATTCTGTTGTAAAAATAGTACTAGAACTGGAAAAGCTTCAAAGACACAGACAAGGTTAAATATTTGCACCTTCAAGGATCAGACCTTACATATCACTAATGCCACAAATATGCTGACACTTATCTATCTCCCTGAAGTCTTCCAGTTGAGTCAAGCTCTGTCCCCTGTAAAGCACAACTGGGCTTATGACTTCAGGGTCTTCCCACACATGATGTACTATTATTTCTGGCTACTAAAAGAGCCAGGCTAGTCACCTGATATCTTCCACTTTTCATGGCCATTCTGATTCTTGTAGACAACCCGATCCTTCCTCCTCCACTAACTTTCTGTAATTTCATCCTACGTCCTTTTGTCTGCACCTCCTAACATCACCATTCATTTTCTCAGTCAGTGTTCCCTGTACTGTAACAGTCTGGAACGTGCAAAATCACCTCTTCTTACTCATCTAATGAGAGAGAAGACCTGATGTGGTATTGTATTATTCTGCTATACATAATTCATTCTTTCTTCCAGTAGAGCTTGTAGGTGAAGTACACAGTGTTGGCTGGCTGGTTGGTTAAGAGGACATTAGGAAAAATGTTTCCAGACCTTCAAAGTGTTTCAATTTTGAAATGAGCTAGTGCTTGGATAAATCACATGAATAGAGAGTATTGATCTAGTTTGTATATTAAAGGTAGTTGGTGAAAAAGAAAGTAGAAATTAAATTTTATGTTAATAATATGTATACTTTTAAAAAAGTTCTGGAAGAGGTGAGAAGCAGATTTGCTGAATATCTCTGGGTGAAAATAAGAGAGAAAAGACCAGAGGTGATACAATGATATATCTACTGTATACTAGATAACCATAAGCAGGAAGGAGATGAGGCTTTTTTTCACCAATTAACAAAAGTATTCAAGGGTTAGTATTG